CAAGGCCAGTCCTTGCTCCTCTTTTCTTCTTGATCTACATTCCTGTCCTGGATGAGCCTATCTAGTCTCATGGTTTTAAATATAATTTCCCAAATGCATATTTCATTCAGATTCCCTTCCCAAACTCCAGGCTTGTACATAAGCATTTGTACTGGACATCTGAAATTTAGAACGTCAAAATTGAACCCCTCATCTCCTCCTGTAAAACTTACTCTATGTGCAGTCTTTTTAATCATAGTTAATGGAAACCCTAGCTTTTTCCTTTTTATTTTGAATTAATTTTAGGCTCATGGATAAGTTGCAAAAATAGTACAGAGTTCCTGTGAATCCTTCACCCTGATTCCCCCCAAAATAACAACTTACATAACTACAGTACAAGTATAAAAAATCAGGAAATTGGCATTGGTACAATACTATTGACTAAACTACGGACCTTTTTCGATTTCACCAGTTTTTATATGCACTTTTCTTCTTGATGTATGAAATGTTCTAAGAAATGTTGTTACACGTTGAGATATTTGTAACCAGCAGTAGATACAATCAATATGTAGAATTATTCCTTTACCCCAAACAAGCTCCCTCATGCCCTCTCCCCTCCAACCCTAACCCTGGCAACCACTGATCCATTCCACATCTCTATAATTGTGTCATATTGAGAATGTTATATAAGTTGAATCACATGGTAGGTAGCTTTTTGAGACTGATGTTTTTTTTCTCTCAGCCTGATACCCTTGACATCCATTCAAGTTGTTACATGCATTCTTTTTATTTTTCATCTGAGCAGTATTTTCTTATATAGATACACCACAGTTTGTTTATTCATTCACTTGTTGAAGGACATTTGTGTTGTTTCTACTTTTTGCCTATTAGAAATAAAGCTGCTGTGAATAATTTGTGTACTGGGTTTTGTTTAACATAAGTTTTCATTTCTCTGGGATAAACATCCAGGACTGGGGTTGCCGGATCATATGGGAGGTATATGTTTAACTTTATAAGAAATTCCAAATGGTATTCCTGACTAGCCATACCACTTTACATTTCTACCAACAATATCTGAGACCCAGTTGTTCCTCATCCTTGTCAGCACTTGGTATTGTATTTTTTACTTTAGGCATTCTGATAGGTATGCTGGAGTATCTCATGGTGACTTTAATTGCATTTCCCCCAGGGTTAATATTGTTAAACATCTTTTCATGTGCTTCTCTGCCATCCTTTGGACATGTATTTGTTCAGATCTTTTCCCATTTTCAAATGGGATTGTTTATTTTCTTGTTGAGTTTAAAGAGTGTGTGTGTGTGTGTATTGCTTATACACACCCATATATATCTCTCCACATATATATACACAGATAGATAGATGAATGGATGGATAGATAAGTAGACAGACAACCAGATAGATACTAAGATACAAACCTTTGTGGGGATATGTGATTTGCAAATAATTTTTCAAGGCTATGACTTTATTTTTATTTCTTTCTTTTTTTTTTTTTTTTTTTTTGAGAGACTTTTTTTTTTTTTTTTTTTTTTTTTTTTTTTTTTTTTGAGACGGAGTTGCTCTGTCGCCCAGGCTGGAGTGCAGTGGCCGGATCTCAGCTCACTGCAAGCTCCGCCTCCCGGGTTCATGCCATTCTCCTGCCTCAGCCTCCCGAGTAGCTGGGACTACAGGCGCCCGCCACCTCGCCCGGCTAGTTTTTTTTGTAGTTTTAGTAGAGATGGGGTTTCACCGTGTTAGCCAGGATGGTCTCGATCTTCTGACCTCGTGATCAGCCCGTCTCGGCCTCCCAAAGTGCTGGGATTACAGGCTTGAGCCACCGCGCCCGGCCTATTTTTATTTTCTTAACAGAATATTTAAACAGAGCAAATATTTTTAATTTTGATGAGTCTAATACATTGTTTGCTTTCTTTTATGCATCATGCTTTTAGTGTCAAGTTTAAGAATTCTTTGCGGCCGGGCGCGGTGGCTCACGCCTGTAATCCCAGCACTTTGGGAGGCCGAGACGGGCGGATCACGAGGTCAGGAGATCAAGACCATCCTGGCTAACCCGGTGAAACCCCGTCTCTACTAAAAAATACAAAAATCTAGCCGGGCGAGGTGGCAGGCGCCTGTAGTCCCAGCTACTCGGGAGGCTGAGGCAGGAGAATGGCGTGAACCCGGGAGGCGGAGCTTGCAGTGAGCTGAGATCCGGCCACTGCACTCCAGCCTGGGCGACAGAGCGAAACTCCGCCTCAAAAAAAAAAAAAAAAAAAAAAAAGAATTCTTTGCTTATCTATAGGTCATGAAGATCTTCAGTATTTTCTTTCTAAAGTTTTATAATTTTACACTTTGATTTATGGAAAATTTTGAATTATTTTTGTATAAGGGATTCACCATCTTCTCAGTTACTCAGGTCAATAGCTTTGAAGTTACCTTCGAATTCTCTCTTACTCTTATAACCCACATCAAAACCATTAGGAATTTCTACTGAGTCTACCTCCTCAGCAGTTTCATATCTACCATTCTGGGCTGGTCCATTATTATCACTCATCCATTTTCTATCCTTGTTCTCTATCCTCAACATGGCTTCCTCTCCTCTCCTCTCCTCCCCTCCCCTCTCCTCTCCTCCCCTCCCCTCCCCTCTCCTCTCCTTCTTTTCAGAGACAAAGTCTCACTCTGTCACCGAGGCTGGAGTGCAGTGGTGCAACCATTGCTCACTGCAGCCTCAAACTCCTGGGCTCAAGTGATCTTCCTGCCTCAGCCTCCCAAAATGCTGGGATTACAGGCATGTGCCACCATGCCGGGCCAAAATTGACCATTTTTAAAGCATAAGAGAAATTGGGTCACACTTCTGCCCTCCAGTGTCTCCCATTTCTCTACATGATGTGCTCCATCCCTTACTTCTCTGACCACATTTTCTGGTACTTTACATTCAGTCTCTCCACTCCCTCCCCACTGGTGTCCTAGTGTTTTTTAACCATACCAGGCATACCCCTACTTTGTAGCTTTTGTACTGGCTGTTCCTTTAACCGAAATGCTCCTCCACCAGAAAGCCACATGACTAACTCCTTCACCTTTTTTAAGACTTTGCTCAAAATTGTCACCTTTACAATGAGGTCTACCCTGACCACTCTAAACTTTCAACCTGCTGCCTGTCACCCACCAGCACTCCCAGTCACTCTTACCTTGCTCTGCTTTTTATTTTGTCCATAGCACTTAACATCTCCTAAGGCATTTCCTAATTTGCCTACATATCATATTTCCTATCTTATTGTCTATTGCCACCCTGCTAGAGAATAGCCCTCATGAAGGCAGAGTTCCTTGTTTTGTTCACGGACATATCCCATGATCTCAAAAGTGCCTGGCAATCATAGGGACTCGATAAGTCTTTTTTTCAATGATAGAATAATAGCATATTTTAAATTAGTGATTTGCAAAGTATGGTCCACCCACTTCCGTGGGTTCTCCAAATTCTTTCAAGGAATCTGCCAGATCAAAACTATTTTCATAATAATATTGAAATGGATATGTCTTGCTGTCTGTATTAGGCAGTTCTTGCATTGCTATAAAGAAATACCTAAGACTGGGTAATTGATAAGAGGTTTAATTGGTTAATTGGTTCTATAAGCTGTACAGGAAGCATGGCACCGGCATCTGCTTCTGGGGAGGCCTCAGGAAACTTTCACTCACAGCAGAAGTTGAAGCAGGAGCAGGCACATCATGTGGCCAAAGCAGGAGCAAGAGAATGGGGGGACGGTGCCATACTTCACAACAACCAGATCTGACAAGAAGTCACTCATTATTGCAACGACAGCACCACACCATGAGGGATCCACCCTGATGACCCAAACACCTCCCCCCAGGCCCCACCTCCAGCACTGGGGATTACATTTCCACATGAGATTTGAGTGAGGACAAATATCCAAACTGTATCATTCTCTGGGTTGACATCTGCATTGAAGGTGCAAAAGCACTAGTGGATAAAACTGCTAGAATCCTCACACCCATCAAGGCAGTGGCACCAAACTATTGTAATAATCATATTCTTTTTTTTTTTTTTTTTTTGAGATGGAGTCTCACTCTGTTGCCCAGGCTAGAGTGCAGTGGTGCAATCTCGGCTCACTGTAACCTCCACCTCCCAGGTTCAAGCGATTCTCCTGCTTTAGCCTCCTGAGTAGCTGGGACTACAGGCACCTGCCACCATGCTGGGCTAATTTTTGTATTTGTAGTAGAGACAGGGTTTCACCATGTTGGCCAGGCTGGTCTCAAATTTCTGACCTCAGGTGATCTACCCACCTTGGCTTCCCAAAGTGCTAAGATTACAGGCATGAGCCACCATACCCGGCCAAATAGTCATATTCTTCACTGCCATGGCACTCATGATTTAAAAGGAAAAGAAAATGACTTCTAATATGAGGTTATAGAAAAAAAAATTAAAGAAAAATAGTTTCGCTTAGGAATGTCTTTGATAAAGCACTAAAAATTGTTAGTTGTCAACCTTTGAGTGTACTGTTTTTTAATATTCCATTATAAAATGGAAAGTCCTCATAAGGCACTTTTATTGCATGCTAAAGTACTGATTGACTTGAGGAAAACAATTTGTGTGAGTATTGGAGTTGCACACTGAACTAGATACTTTTTTCATGCAACACCATATTTTCTTGAAAAAACACTGACTGGCAAAGTATGGTTATTCAGATGTGGGTATTGGTGGACATTTTACCTTGTATTCCAGTCACTTTAAGGAAAATAACAGACAGTGTTTGTTGGCCAGTTGTGTCATAATTTTTTTTTTTTTTTTTTTTTTTGGGGGGATAGAGTTTCTGTATTGTTGCCCAGGCTGGAGTATAATGGCGCGATCTTGGTTCACTGCAACTTCCACCTCCTAGGTTCAAGCAATTCTTCTGCCTCAGCCTTGTGAGTAGCTGGGATTACAGGGGTGCACCACCATGCCCAGCTAATTTTTGTATTTTTAGAAGAGACAGGGTTTTGCCATGTTGGCCAGGTTGATCTTGAACTCCTGGCCTCAAGGGATCCACCCATTTTGGCCTCTCAAAGTGCTGAGATCACAGACGTGAGCCACCGCGCCCGGCCATTGTGTCGTAATTTTATACATACTCTAGTTTCATAAAAAATCTCATTAGTTGATATTGAATGCATTTTATTGTGTTTAAGATTTTTCATTATTAAGCTAGGTATCTCAAAACTTTTTTCTGATACACTTTCTCTTCCATCTTCAGTTTCTTGCCAGCTCTATGTTTTAGTCAAAAGCCTTTCTATTGCAGGTGCTAGAACCCTAGTTTAAATGAGCTAAAGCAAAAAAAAAAAAAAAAAGAAGTAGAAAAAGAAGAAGAATTAGCTCACAGATAAATTGGTTCAGAAGGCCCTGAGGTCAAGCTCAATCAAGCCAGATCCAGGGTCTAAACCTCCAGACTTTTCATCTCTATTATTTCTCTCCACTTGGCTACACTCAGCATGCTATCTATGCCTCTCCACCTAGAGAAGTCACGAAAGTGGCCACAGTCATCCCCAGCTTTATGTTATCCCGGATGAACAAACAAGGAAGAAGGAGAGCTTCAGTCCCCCAGTATCCATAGTTCCTCTCTCTTTCTCTCTCTTACACACACTGTATACTCTGGCCACGACTGGATCATGTTTCCACCTCTGTGTGTCCAGTCAATGCTATAGTAAGATGGGTCCAGTCCCAGTCACATGCCAACCCTGGAAGTGGGATACTTATGAGACCCATTATGCACACACACACAGCCAAATGAATTTGAGGAAAAACGGATCCACAAGGAAAAGATGCTGGCAGAAAAAAACAGCATCCCACTACAACATGAGACAGAATCCCTGTATATTTGTACACCCTGCTCCCACAGCTAAGAACCTTATAAGGACAACAGAAAGTGTTTAGAAATAAGCAATGCTTGACTTATAGTTTTCAAGATCACTACTCTAAAATTTCAAGAAATGTCTGGGTTAAGGGAGTGGAGTAAACTGACGCTAGGAAATCAATCACCTCTTACGAACCCCTATCTGACCATTCAAGAGAGAAGAAAGAAATTCAAATTGTCAGCAGTCAAATTATTATAAAAGTAAAATAAGGTTGAGTAAGGCAATTCATGGGATAATGCATTCAGGATATAAACCAGAAAATGCTGCACAGATAGGTAGAATGTGGTCCTACTTAGTAGCGATTATATTTTTCTTCCAATAACATTGGAAATCAGCATTTCTAGATACTACTATAGTTAAAGGAAAGTCATAGCTGTCACTTAATTCATTCTCGAAATGCAAGTCTCCAAATCAGTGGGCTGAGAATAGGCGCCATTCTCATGTCACCAACTCCAGCTGCACTGTAGGTGCCCTGCTAGTATCTCCTCACCATTACCATGTCAGCTCATGGTGCTTATCTTCCACTTTCTTCGACCACCTAAGCACACTTTGTCCACCCGTGCAGGCAGGCCAAAAGTGTGAAAGTATTAACAGCCCATCAGTGTTCAACTATTGACTTACAGGAGTTGGTCGTGGTGACTCTGCGGGGTGAGTGGAACATCGTTTTCCAGAGTAGGCTTCAGCTCCAGCTGCCCAGGGTGGAGGCTGGCTTGTAACACACTCTTTACCAGTTACCTTCATCTTCTCTCATATCCCACTCACCTGTTGGTGTTTCCTTCACCTGCCAAACAAAATGCTTTTATTTGGATCTTTATCTCAGGGTCTGCTTTTAAGACAAGAGAGAGAAAAGAATTGAAAAGGCTTGTATTGAGCGAGTCGTTCATGCTTTTCCTGCACTTTGAAGTACACAGAGCTTATTCCAGCAAGGTGCCATGTAACCAGAAATCATTCTTTTGCTAACTTTAAGATAAACTAGAGGACCTAGGTGCACAAAAACGGGAGAAAAAGTTCTGTGAGCATATGCACTTGAGTCTCACATGGGTGTATTTATTCAGCCTTGGGACCTCCTCCAAAACCAAAATGTAAAACAACATAAAACGAAGTTAGTGATGGAATAACCAAGGTCGACTGACCTCTTGGATCTACCCTCCATCTTTCTGAGTTTAAATGAGTATATGATTGGAAGCAAATGGGTGTGGGAGGGAGGGGAATGGAAGGAGAGAGGAGGCAGACACATTTAATACATGACCTCAAACTACTACGCTGCTTTGTTTCCCAATTTCCTCCTTTGTGTCTGTGCACTTTAATCAACCTCAAGGTGTGCACCCTTGGTGAACTGAAACACATAATCATCACCTGTAGAATTTGTAGATTATATTCTATATGGTCTGCTTGAGATGGCAGGAAACCCAACAATACTTTAAAAAAAAAAAATGTTTCTTAACTGGTTAAAAGAAAAAAAGCTTTTGAAAGTGTAAGTTCTAGGTGTTCAGAAAACTTATTCTAACAGATCCTTCCCCCAAAGTCATATAACCTATTGACACATAACATATTGTGCTTTAAGATACTTTCCTTTCCATTTCTTTTTTTTTTTTTTTTTTTATCAGAGTCTTACTCTGTTGCCCAGGCTGGAGAGCAGTTGCACAATCTTGACTCCTGGGTTTAAACGATTCTCCTGCCTCAGCCTCCAGAGTAGCTAGAATTACAGGTGTGTGCCATCATATCCATCTAATTTTTGTGTTTTTAGTAGAGACACAATTTCACCATGTTGGCCAGGCTGGTTTCAGACTCACAACCTGAGGTGATCTGCCTGCCTTGGCCTCCCAAAGTGCTGAGATTATAGGTGTGAGCCATCGTGCCCAGCCCTCCCTTCCATTTCTTAATTAAATATTCTAAAAGCAAGTTATAAAGCACTTGTGTTTCACATATAATAAGTATTCATTTAAATGATGTTTGGCAAGTATTCTACTTAGTGAGCAATTTAAAGACAGAAGGTATTTTACTCACAATTGCTCATAGATATTTGGTATAAATATAAATATACAAATAAAAGCTTACAAATATTGTACTCCTGTCACACATAATCACAGACTTTAAAATATCAATTTACCTTAACAGTCCAAGAAGCTCATGAAAATTCATTGTCAGGGAAGAAACGAAATGAGTCAAGAGAACAATGTGTTATTTTTCTTTTACTTCAATTATCTTTACATAATTTCTAATTTTGTGATGAGTCATTTTGGAATACTGCTTTCTTAAAAATCTACTGATTGCCTCAATACCTGCCAGAGGTTCTGTGGGGTATTTAAGGAGTACGTAGGAAAGAGTAGTTTCAGTAAATTTGTTGTAAAACTTAACCTACAAATTGAATTATTTACTATGAAATAAGTAATTTTTATTTTTTGGGAAATTGACAGTCTTCAAAGCTGTGATATTCCAGAGACACTTCACACTTAAGGAAGAGGATATTTCATCCAAGTGTCAATAGCTATAACTCCAAGGATCCAGGACACCTGTGCTTCTCTCTGGACACACCTTTAGGTGTGGTGGTTTAGTAGAGACATTGCTGCAACACAGCTGAAAACGATCTGCCACATAACAACATTTAAAATTACGCCATTAGTTCCCCTAAAACAGTATCCCCGTGTGGATTCTCTGACTGTCTGTGTTTCCATCAGAAGGTGATAAACTTAAGAACTGGTTGTCCAAGAATATACCTAAAGAGACCCCAAAAAAATAGAGATTGGGAAGAGTACAGGACAAAGCTACTTAGTTATAAGGATGGGCTGTGGTGCCTTCTGAAATTCTGCATGATCCCTCATTGCCATGACCCTATTATGCATTTTTATGCCTTTTGTTTTGTGGCAGATGAATGCATCTGGTTTATAGGCATTCTGGTTCAGTTTACCATTATTTATAGGATCAAGACACTGTTGCTACAATGACTCCAACACAAGGAAGAGCCAAAGGGTTAGTTTTGCCCCCATCTCCGAACAGAGGACTAAATGTTTCCCTCTTAGACTAACTGTCGTGGTGACTTCTCAGTTCTATGAATATAGACCCGAAAATCCTAAACAGAATGTTAGTGAGTCAAATCCACAAATATGTAAAAACGGATAATACATAGCAGCAATTACAGTCTTAGGTATCTACCTAAGAGAATGAAAACATATGCTCATAAAAAGACTTGCATATAAACATTAATATTATAACAGCCCCAAGTGGAAACAGCCCAAATGTCTATCCACAGGCGAATGGATACCGAAATTGTATTATTTATACAATGGAATACCACTCAGCAATAAAAAGGAACAAAGTACAGATACACAAAATAAACATGGATAAATTTCACAGACATTTTTCCAGGCAAAAGTGACCTGGCATTTAAAAAGTGCATACTGTATGATTTCATTTAAGTGAAATTCTAGAATAGTTAAAATACATCTATGGTGATTTTTTTTCTAAACCAGTGTTGGCCAGGCACAGTGGCTCATGCCTATAATCCCAGCACTTTGGGAGGCCGAGGCGGGCAGATCACCCTAGTTCAGGAGTTTGAGACCAGCGTGGCCAACAAGGCAAAACCCTGTCTCTATTAAAAATACAAAAATTAACCAGGTGTGGTGGCATACACCTGTTGTCCCAGCAACTTGGGAGGCTGAGGAAGAAGGATCACATGAACCTGGGAGGTAGAGGTTGCAGTGAGTGGAGATCATGCCACTGCACTCCAGCCCGGGCAACAGAGCAAGACTCCATCTCAAAAAAAAAAAAAAGACCCATGTTTCAGTGAGGTGTGGGGTGAGGGAGACTGCAAAGTGGCAAAAGTGAATTTTGGAGAGAGGGCACTCTTCTATATCTTAATTTTGATGGCAATGACATAAGTGTATAGTTTTGTCAAAAAGTCATCAACCTATCTACTTAAAATATGTGACTTTTACTATAAATTATGCCTTAAGCTTATTTAAAGAAAGAATATTATTGAAAAGTGATGAATAAGCAATATCTTTTTACAGAAAGGTTTTTTATCTCAATTTCCATGATTCCACTCTCTGACCACCACCTTTCTTTCCTACTGAGTCCTTACATTACCAATGCAACAACTCTTTGTCCCCAGTGAGCTCTCCAGCTTTTCACTCTCCCTGACCTACCTCCTTGTATCCCTTATCCCACTTAAATTTCATAGTCTACAAATCACTCCCTTGCATCCCTCACCATCCTTGCTCTGCACTTCAATTGGATAGACCATTTCCCAGATTAAATCACTCTACCTACTCCACCTGCACCTAATCAGCTGAATATGGCTGAAGAAAACCACACAACCAGGCTGACAGGACTCATTCTAAATGCATGATCACCAACCCCGGGAGGTCCTCACTGCTGCCGACGTTGCTCCATTTAACGCTCTGCCCTGCTTTTCTCAACAACAATGTCATCTCTTTTTGGATATTCAAAACTCAAATATCTCTTTACTTCCTCACTTTCAACGAAATTTTGCTACTTTTTGCTTAAGAAAGTAGAAGAGATCAGAGGAGAACTTCTAAGCACATTCTCAACATGAAATCTACCTGCATCTCTGCCTTCACACACTTGCTGCACACAACTGATTGTCTATGTACCTACTTAATGCCCACCCCTTTGCTTATGGACCTGCCAAAGACATCACTCCAGCAATTGTCCTCTATCCTTCAACATCAGGCTTTTCACCTCTTCTGAATATCTCCAATTGCATATAAACACACTTCAGTATCTTCCATCATTAAGAAAAACACCTTCCCTTGACTTCAGATCCCATTGCATTTCCCTGTACCCCTTCATAGAAACACTCCTGGGCCCCGCACTGTGGCTCACGCCCATAATCCCAACGCTCTGGGAGGCCAAGGTGGGCGGATCATGAGGTCAAGAGATCTAGACCATCCTGGCCAACATGGTGAAACCCTGTCTCTACTAAAAATACAAAAATTAGCTGGGCATGGTGGCACATGCCTGTAGTCCCAGCTACTTGGGAGGCTGAGGCAGGAGAATCACCTGAACCTGGGAGGCAGAAGTTGCAGTGATCTGAGATCGCACCACTGCACTCCAGCCTGGGTGACAGAGCAAGGCTCCATCTCAAAAAAAAACAAGAAACAAAAAACAAAAAAACCAAAAACAAAAACGAAAAAGAAAAAGCAAACACTCCTATTGAATAATTTTCTATAATTGCCATCTCTGTTTTCTCACCTCCTTTTCTCTCTTGACCCATACCAGTGAGGGCTCTTTTTCATCAGTACACTAAAATTGCTCTTGTTAAGCTCAAAGTGCCCTCCACGTAGCCAACTCTTACAGGTTGTTCTCAACTTCAAAGTCACAACTGATCACTTTCTTTCTTTGGCTGCCTGAATCTGTCTCTCAGTTCTTCTCCTACTTCTATAGCCACTCTTTTCCAGTTTCCTTTTCTACTCTTTTAAAAATTTCTCAACCTCTAAACTTGGGAGTGTTCCTGGGCTCAACCATGGGACCTATTGTTTTCTCTTCATTAATTCACTAGAAGATCTCCTCCCACCCCATGGTTTTCTATTCCATGTGGACACTGTTTACTTTCATGTTTCTCTCCATTCCCTGAACAGCAGGCTGTAGAGTCAACTGCCTAATGGACATCCACACATGCTAACACGTCTACAATCAGAACTTTAAGTTCCCACCCAAACTCACTTCTCTCCCAGTTTTTTCCATATTAGGAAACGATGATTCCATTATATCAGCTTCTCAAGCCAAAAACCTTGATGTTATCTCAGGTAGGAATTGATT